GGACCCCGCTTTCCAAATGCGGCTTGTGGTGCAGAGCACAGCCAGTGCTGCGTTCTCAACGTGCGGGGGCTTTTTTAACACCTCCAAATTAAATAGGCTCGTGTGTGGGTGCTTTGGAGTTTAGAGCACACACCGCAGCCACAGCAACCCCTGCTTGTTACTCGATTAAATTTCCATTTTAACATGAAAACAGCTGGTTTCATGGTAACTCTGACTGTGTAAATAACAGTCATGCTCGCAATCCCTGATGAAAATCACATTACCCACTCCTGTACCTGGCCTTTTGTTTAACAGGGAACACGCTGACGGTGCTGGGAATGAAACCAGCCTTTCGGGCCACCTGCACCAAGGTAAGGTGTTGGACCAGAGGCCCTGGCCCCGGGTCTTCTTTCAAAGATCAGCTTCCAAAGCCTCTGGCTTTGACTGATCAGCAGGGCAACTTGTGCTATAAATGGAGGGGAACTCAAATGGCCCCAGCCTTGTCTTGCTCAACTCGTCTGGGGCATCTCTCTGCTAGGAGAGCAGGTGCAACTCAAACCTGCAACTTGGGCAGAAGGGGCTGAATTTGGGAATGGCATCTCCTGCCCCTAATCAGTACGAGCTAGCATGGGTTGGGACAGGGACAATGCCCGTGAGAGGGGCAGCTTGCAACTGCCTGAAGGAAGCCCTCCACAATGCCTTTTGTGCACCATGGATCGGAGGCCTGACATGTCACGGGGCAGGGACAACGGCCAGGCCCTGCTCAATGGTGCTTTGGTCTCAGCCCAAGAAGTAACCAACTGTCTGGGCTGCAAGCCTCAAGGAGGCTCGTTGTCTACCTCCAGTGCTCCTAGGACCCCTGCAAATGAGCCCCCCTTAACGGGGCAAAAGACTGAGGCTGCTGCAGCTTCTCATCCATGATAGCAGGGAGTCGGGAGTCAGTGCGGTGTGTGAGGATGAATTCAACGCTGTCCTAGCGGATGAGGTTGGAGGAGAGGTGGCAGTTGCTTCCTTTTACTGGAGCGGCAGGGAATGAAGGGGGACACTTCTGCAGAAGGTGGTACAAGAGCGCGTGGTCCCATAACCATAAAAGTGATGGACGGGGAGTGAGCGAACGCACAGCAGAACAAAGCAGAGCATGTGCCCAGGATTTACATTCTAACGACAACAGCCCATTGTCTGAGAACAATAAAAAATTATCTGCTAATAGGAAAAGCATCTACAAGACAAGAGATATTTAGACTTCTATGCAACTCGGCTGGTAATTTACTGCTGCAATAAAACTGTCAGTGCAGCGAGCAGGCGTCAGCCCCTTTTTGTAGCCCAGGGAGGAAAGCTTGGAGGCACCCTATGTGGAGACGGGCTATAAACGGGAGCACAGCCTGCCACGTTCTGCAGGAAGAAGGGGAATTAGGAGCTGTTTTGAAGGTCTCAAGGTGGTGGCATCAAAGGATGAAGGATAAATAGGGGGACCTCAAATTTTTTGTGTCTGCCAAGCCAAGGCTTTTCCAGCTTGAACAACGTGAATCTGAAGGCATTGGGATCAAGTAGGATGAGAAGAGAGAAGGGCTTCCTCTGTCCTTTTGTCTGGCTATTGCACCGATAGCACTGATGTGCTTAGAAGTGAGGTTGGGCAGCATGGAGGCGATGGTAGTCATCGTGGGCCTCGGGATGGCTGGGTGACCACAAGGCAACCTGCAATGCCAAAAAGTTGGCCTTTGTGGTATGCTTAAGGGAGGCTGGGTGGCGTTTTGCTTCTGGTGTAGAGTCTGAGTATCAACATCCAGCTCCAGAAGGGAAAAAAAAAATAGGTCCCTTGGTTGTAAGAGAATGAGAAAAGAGGCTGGAGAAGAGGAATGGGGTAGGACAGGGAGTCCTAAGACCATCCTGAGCAGACATGAACATCTGACCTGACCACCGAAATCCGCTGTGAAGGGGGTGCGAGAGCCACCAGGGTCGAAGAGCTGAAGGATTCTGGCTCTCAAAGCCCATCGCCCGAGTATTGATCCTGGTGCCTGGGAGCAGAAAGGTGCGGGATAGGCCTGCCATGCAAAGTAACCAGCTGGAGCTGAGCTCAGAGCGAAACTTAGGCAAGGCTTCCAAAGCGATGCAACTCAAGACCAAGCCCTTTGCAGATCTTTTCTCTGGGGTAGACGCCAGTAAGGAACTGCGAATTTAAAATGGCAGGGATTAAAAAGCACTGCTAGGTCACAACGAGGCTTGACGTAACCAAACCCACCAACATCCGTGCGTGGCCAGGGGCATGCTGCCACTGGTCTGCACAGAGAGCAGGGGTTGCAGCTGGAGATGCCTGTCTGGCCGTGCACAAGCACACACGCTGGGTCATCTCCGTATGCATCGCACCTGGAAGCATGTGACTACCAGAGAGGCAAAGATGCATTTGTATGAATGCAGGTTGCCTAAACCCCTTCTGAGTCCTGCCGAGAGGCCAGCATGGGCTCGCATGCCAGTCTGTTTGCCGGCAAGCTCTCTGCTCTCCTTTGAAAGGTCCTAAGCGCTGAGGCTGGCCCAATTAGTTTATTTAATCCCTCCTCATAAATCATTCTTTGCCATCCCCTGCAGCCTATCGGCATCATCAAAAGTGATTAGTTAATTTAAACCTTGGAGTTCACACGTTCCCTTATCTGTACCAATCTCGCTCCCCATTAAGCTCTTTCTCAGAACCGTACCTAGCTGCCTCGATGGTATCTTCACGTTCCCTTTTGAAGTGGCGATGCACTGCCAAGGCTGGTAAGGAGCAGTGCCCTGCCTGCCTGCCTTGCGGGTGATTGCACGGAGCTGGATTTTTTCCTCCCTCTAATTTGACTGTGACTCATTTGTTCAATTTTGTATTTTAGCCTCTTCTATTGGTGGCCGTTTGCTCATGTTGCTGGCTCTTGGCTTCCCCCCGAGAGCACTGAGCTGCCGACGACGGCTTCGTGAAACGGGGCAGAGGTGTCTTCCGCTTCAAACGAGGGGACAGTTTACATGGAGGCCCAGGTTGGCAACTGAGGACGATGGAAAAAAAGTCAGCACAGATTGGAAGGAGAGCCAGGAAAGGAAGGTCCCTGCCTTAGAAAAGACCTAAGTAAGCTGAATAGGTCTGGATGGAAGAGTTGAAGTCTGAGGTGGCTTCAAGGGGAAAGCTAGAGGGTAGCTGCAGGTGGAAGGACTGTTTGATGTATCCGTGTTGCTGGTTTTCGGAGGAATGGAAGGAGCCGGCTGTAGGAAGATGGGGGGGATGTAGGGCTCGAGAAGGATTTGGAGCCTGAAACCAGCACCAGGAATGACCCGCATCGGCAATGGAGCAGAGTGGCGTTCTGTAACAAGGCGCATGCAACTCGTGGGCGGGCGCATATGTTAATCGGGTGGCAAGCGGGGTACAGGCAGGAGCTGGGACACGGAAGAGCAGAGCTGGCACTTCGGCCCTGGGAACAGCTCGCGTTTCTCCTGCCATAATGCTGTGGTATTCCCCTGCTTGTCTGGCAGGGAAATCCAGGTGGATTTCCAACTCGTGGGAGCAGGGAAAGTTGGATATGAACCAGTCCGGCTCTAATGATCCCAACTGTGCCAAGCCCCAGTGCGGCGGGGAAATGCATGCCTTGCTGCTGTCCTGCAGTGTGCTGCTTTCCTCTCCTAGGTTAAGCGTCGCTCAGGCTCAAGCACGTGGGTTCCTTGATAAACAGAAGAAAGCCCTGGTGCCTCTGGCAGGTGGGAGAAGAGCTGTGGCAGCCTGCAGGTTGATGGTCTCGTTCCCGGTCCAGCCCCGACTTAGTTGGAGGACAGCGCATCCTCTTTTCCCCCTCCGCACTCAGATGCCAAGGAAGGAGGGGGTTGCTTTGCTCTTTTATTTGGTGCTTGGTTTCCCAGGGGCTGCCTGATCCCAACCTGTCCGTCTCCCAGAGGACCTACTGGGCCACTACTTGCTCCCCACCCCGGCTCTGACAGATGAGCCCTTGCAGGCCTCCCCAGCTCTTCAGAACGGAGCAGCCGAGCCTTTGAAAGGCATCCAATGCCAACAGGCAGGGCCCTGTTTGCCCAAAGAGAGAGAGAGAAAAGTCGCAGTGGTTTCCCTCTCTCTCTCCCCAGGCTCTCAACCAGTCCGACCGGGGTCTGCAGAAGGACGTGGCAGCAAAAGTTAGGCAGAGCCGTGGTGGTGCTGGGCTGTTTGCAGAGACCTTGATCAGGGGTGGGGTAGGGAAGGGTCGCTTCCACGATACTGCCTTCCATTGCAGGCTCTGCTCGGGGGCGCAGGCAGGTAGACACGGCGCACACAACTCGGCACAATTTTTTTGCAGAGCGTAGCATGCTGGAAGCCCTTCCCACCTAGCCTGTGCTTCCAGGACATGAGCTCTTTGCTTCCCCGGTGGATGGGAAGAGCAACCTTTCCACGCTGCAAAGGGGTGGGGGCTTGTGCTGGTCACGGTGTATGCAGCAGGCAGCTGAAATCCCATGCCGCGTCCCTGGCTCCTCGCTGCAGGAAATGCTGACAAATGAGAGGGAGCATTCAGGAAAGTGCCAGTGTTGATTTGAGAACTGAATGATGAGGGCAAGGTAGAGAGAAGGACCTGTCGAGCTTGGAGGGAGCCTGGCTAGTGGCTAGAGGCACAGTCTACGGATGTAACCAGGAGAGGAGGGAACGGGTGACACGGTGGGCTATAGTGTGGGTGAACTGGGTGCACAGCAAGAGGGCATGTATCTGGATCTTGAGTCTTCTGCATGCCTCGTTCTTAGGATATGATAATTAGCCGCACTGGTCAGCACCTTGCAGAACAGATGGTTGGGAAGGGTCCTGGTGGTTTAGGTGGGAGCCTGTCTGACAGCTGAGCCCCAGGGGAACGGCCCTCCGGGGAGTAGATGGGGACATTCCCAACATGAGGAAAGGAATATGCTGGTTGCAAGCTCATAGCAGCAAAGAGGCCTTAACTTCTAAACAGCAGGGAGCGGCCATGGCACAGGGTCTTGGGGGGCTGCCTTAAGGCATGTGACCTTTGAGCTTTTGGTCCCCTTCTTGATTACAGTTGTCCCCTCTTTGAGCATCTCCGGCCTGACTGATCCTGGTGAAGCTGATGGGTTTTTACCGTGGGGGCCAGCCCTTGCTTCTCTTGCTGCCATCCCTCTGTCTCCGAGTGTAAGCCCGGGGGGCACCAGGCTTGGGCTCTTCTGCGCACCTCCAGCACCTGGGACTGAGCCTTGCTCTTTCAAGAAGCAATACAGGGTGGATTCAAGCGACTTGTTTTGAACAGGCCGTGGCATGGACTGTCTGGGCAGCGCAGGTTTTTAGGTAAGCCGCTCCCCCTCGAGAAGCACTAGGAGTTGGCAAGAGGCTTGGCTTTGTTTTCAGCTGAAGCCCGAGGACGATATGGGTGGAGTGGGTCTTGTTCAACCGCTTCCCAAGTGTTGTTCTTCTGGCAGGGAGGAGACTGTTCGGTGGGAAGTCCTCCACGAAGCTGCCCGACAGTTCTCTGTCCCAGGAGGAGCGAGAATAACAGGGAGGCCCGGCTGGTATAGTGCCTTCTCCATGTGGTCCAAGCTCCTCTTCCTGGTGGCACATCGCAACCAGAGCCCTTGTGAGCCCTCGCTGCACCCCCAGCCCTCCTCTCTGCCTGCTTGCCATCAGCACCAGCATGGACGGAGCATTTGCTAGTCACCTGCAGCTGCAGAAGAAACTCCAGAAGTGTCCCCAGGACCTACCAAAATGGAAGTTGACTAGGAAAGCTCTGTGCACACCTAGGGCACTATAGGAGTCCTTAATTATGAGTAGGCAGGTCAGTTTGAGTCACCTTCCCTTTTTAGCCCAGCCACCTTGGAGGGGCCCCTTGAGGCATCCTAATTGCTAACAGGAGCCTTCCCCGTGGATGGGAATTGCCCAGGGGGATTGCAAGGGGGGGGGTGGCGTCTGTATTCCTCAGCCCAGCCCGCAGGCTCCTCCTCGCTCCAAACTCTCATCCGAGCAGGAGATGTCCCTGGGGGGGATCTGTTGCCATGTTTGGCTTTGTCATCTGATTTCTGGATTTATTGCTTCCAGGATTCTGTGGGTTTGTTAATTAAAGGAAAGACGTCTGGGTTATCTGTATTTCCATCTCTCCAGCCTCCCCCGGGTGCATCCCCAAGCAGCCTCAGCTGCCTCCAGATGAAGCAGCCCTTTGCTTTTCGAGCAAGTGAAGCTGTAGAGCCCAGCTGGGCTCGGTACATGGAGAGCCCACCTGGAGCGGAGTTGGTCTTGTTGAGCATCTTCTTATGGGAAGCCCAACTCGTCATTAAGTTCAGCAGCTTCCTTCTCTTGTCATGGGTATGGGAGACATGGCATTGGGGTGTCACCACCTCCTTGGGGCATAGTAAAGCCATTCACTTCTCTGGGCAGCACAGTGTTGAAATGCGGCATGCTGCTGTGGGCACAGTGCCTCCTGAACCATATAAATGTGACTGTTCCTGGTTAAGTAGTCCACCCCCATCACTGCACTGCTCCCGGTGCAGGAGACTGGGAGCATGGGGCAGGGCAGTGTGATCTGTCCTGGCCCTGCCTGTAGGGCTCTAGAGAGATGGGCTGTAGGACAGGGGATGTCGAGCTCTTCTGGATGAATGGCACGGGGCCAACCTCACAGGCTGGATCAGGCCCATGGACGCTCAGAACAAAAGTTAATTGGGGGACAAGCTATAATGCCCATCTCCCAGGAGCCATGGATGTGCCCTTCTCTCATCCTGGCACCCCAGCCCTGAGAGAGTTAGACCTCCGTCGATGTGGGCATCCTGCAAGGCACCGGTGCAGCTTAGAATAAATAAGGAAGGGCCTTTCTGCCTTTGCTTCCCTTGTGTAGAAGGGGTGCCCTGGGGAGAAGGTCTGGGGGGCATGAAGGAAGCAGGGTGGCAAGGGGCAGGCAGGAGAGGGAGCAGGAAGACGAGAGTGGGGCATGTGGCATCCCTTTGTCCCATCTCCACTCATGAGACAGTGCCAGGATAGTTGCAGCTCTCTTCCGAGGGAAGAGCCCCAAGACTCGGCCCCTGGTGCTAGTCCCTTCTACCTCCTTCTAGTTATCGGTGTCTTTGTCTTCCACACTTTTATCCTGTCTCATCCTCGCTGTGTACAATCCAGCCCCAAGTCCCACACCCTGGGCATAACCCTCCCTGACTCCGTCCATGCCAGCCTGCTGTCCCCTTCCCTGGAATTGGCTCTCACAATTAGTGAAAACTGCTCTTCAACCCTGACTAAACTCAGGGTCTCGTGAGGCTGCTGTGCCCTGACCCTGGGCACGTAGCTGGTGGATCATGTGAGCGAGAGATTGCGGGGAAAGGAGGGTCGGGTCCCTGTGGATCGCTTGCCCACCGGGCACCCACTGGCTGCTCTAAGCCTTCGACCACCGCTTTGTGGATACAAAGCTCTTGGGGCTGCTGAATGAAGTTGTCCTGAGGTGCCTGCGGATAACACTGCCTTCTTGATCAGCCAGATGTTATTGGGGTTAGACGCACAGAGGGTGAATGGCTCTCCGTGGGGAAGTAGGGAGAGGATTGAGCTCTGCAGAGGTGGCTTTTGGGGGGGATGCAAACAGGCTCTGGCCTCGTGCTCGGTCGGGGCTGTGCCGGCCTTTTCTCAGCGGTTCCTCGATCCCTCGGGGCAGAGGCTGGGAGGGCTTCTGACAGCATAGCTAGGGTTTTCACCACCAGTCTCTCAACTCGGCAACCACCTGGACCGGCAAGACCTTCTCAGTTCCCCCTTTCCCCCCCACCCCAGAAACCACCTGCTTTGCAAGCAGAGAACAAAGGAGCTGGCAAACAACTGACAGGCAGAGCCTCCCCTCAACTGGACACCGTTGGATCATCTCCCGTCGTCCGAGCTGATGTTTTCCTCCTGGCTTGGGCTGGGAGACATGAGCCAACGATTAGAGGATATTCCAAACATATGGAGCTGCTGCGG